AATGACATTTAATTATGATTTAGCTGCAAATTCCAAAACTTGCTACAGTACCTACCACAAAAACAAATTACCTGGCAGTCTGGTCTGTGTGATCTAAAGCAGAGTTCTTCAAAATTCATTCATCATGAAAGTCTAACAAACGACACTTAACACTTGTTACTCAGTGAACTGCCAATGTAAAAAAATTACACAAATGCACACATGCACATGCATCTACACTCTGAATTCTAGCAACAGAATCTCGAGACGATTACAGCTTCACAAAGCACTGTGATAACAACTAACATATGTACTAAACTCAAACTGGGCTTGCTACCTGGTTAGTCATTTTTGACAAGCTACTTTAAGACATTTAAAAGATACTGATGCCAACTTCCCAGGCTGCCAAGTCAAGGTCATTACTGCTACTGATTATCCATGATTCTGGTGTCTGGCAGTTGTCTAAGCTGACTGACATTAGTAAATCACAAGACATGCAATGCAGGGCAGTGTCTTCCAGGACGCATTCATAGCTACATGGATGGTATGGACAGTAGTTTCCCAGCTTTGCCCTCTATCATATACAAATATTAGCTAAAGAAAAAGTACCATATGAAAAGTCAAAGGCAAGCCAACTGTACCATGTTGGTACACCACTTAGGGACTCCCCTGGTGGCGCGGCGGTTGAGCACTGGGCTGCGAAGCTGCCCGCACCCTTTGCAGCACCGGTTCGATCCCCAGCCGCCAGCGAGAGTCCCACATGGCACAACAGACCTCTCCTGTCTCGCCCGCTGCTCCCCTCAGCAGTGTACTTCAGTCCTTCTGCCTGTTCTGCTCCCCGCTCTGGTGAATCCTCTCCCCCTCCCGCGCTTCTGACTGTACCCAGTGCTTGTATAAATAAATCTTAAAAAAAAAAAAAAACAAAAAAAAAAACTACCAGTTATAAAGTGGCTGGGAAAAGTTGGCATTATTAACTACAGAACAGGGGAGGAGAAAGGATTATGCAAGACTGCCTGGAGAAATACCACCTGGCATATCCAGAAGTTAAACGAACTTCAGCATCAGACAGCCCATGTGTTCCAGTGAGGCCTAGCACTCTAAATCGACCAAAGATATAGATATTACTCTAAATCTGACCTTTTATTTATTATCTCCAAAAAGAGAGCATCTATTAAGAATATTCTGTTCCTCAGTGCTCTACTGCTTTGTCCATTTTCTCCCTGATGAACTGCATGCTGAACATGCAGTGATTAATAAATACAATTTCCATCTGGCCCCCTTAGCTCATAAACATTTTTAAAAAGTTTGACAGCCTTTGAAATTTGTTGACAAAATCTTGCTGGTTTATTTTTTCCCACCTTAGGCTGAGTCCTTGCTATTTTATCAGTAAATTTATAATACTAAAATGTAATGTTTTAAGGAACTGCAATTCACTAAAAACTACTGTAAAGCCCGATTCCCAAACAAATAAAATATTTTTGCTAGTGTCCAAATTCCATGAGTCATACCCAAATGAAAAAAAAAAAAAAAAAAGACAATTCACTCTCCTTCCTCCTGTCTCCTGTCAATCTACAGACTAGAAAATATAGATGATATCATTATACTTAAAATTCTTCCCCAAAGGCTGCTTTGAGTGAAGTTGATTAAGATTCAACACTGGCTATCTTTTGAGACCTTTTCTCACTTTCAATCTTCAACCTTCCAGTGACATTTCTCATAGTATTTATTATACTCTACTTCTATTTTCAAGAGATTCTTTTACTTCTATTTTACCCACCTTAGACACTAAACTCCCTTGTGATACAGACTTTATCTTACTCACCTTTTAATTTCTAGAATAAAGCCTACACCATGCCCAAACAAAGCAATAATTATTTGTAAAATGGAGCTGAACCTGGGCCAGTGATGATCAATTTTCATTCAGAACAACATCCATTCAAAGATGCTGATATATATTGCTTTGTTACCTATTCTGGTATCTGCTTGCTTAAAAGCATAAAAATAATCTAACATACGTCTCACTTAACCTAACACTTATTTGTTGAGAAAACAGATTCACTGACCCTGGCAATAAAGTGTGATGTGAGAAAACAGAACTGTGTGAAGATGATGTCAAGAGCCACTCAGGGTACTTGGTGAGCTGCAATCTCCCACATCCTCCACCCAGCAGGAGAGGCTGTACTGTGCTCAGCGTAGGACAGGACTGTGGCTTCTTGTCTCAGCAAGACAGACCCAACTTCCCAGGGGCCCCAATCATCATATGCTAAACAGTGAATTTCCCAAATGACCACAGATATCCACAACTATGCTGTCTGGTGCCCTGTGGTTCATCTGCCTGTTCACTGAGAAGGCTGATATATCTCTTATTCTCTATTAAGGGAGAATAATAGGGGACAGGATATCTTCACTGGGATGAAAAATCTATGCTTCCTATTGAGCTAACTGCCCAAACACTGGCTTCCCTGAGTGGAAACAGGGGTAGACGCATGCCTTCCCACTTCCTGTAGATCCTGACTTCTGCTCACAAATGTCCCCTTTCCCCATTAAAACCTGTTTCTTCATTCGCACCTTGATATTGTAGAATCTGTCCTACACTCTGGTACATGACAAGTGCCACTCCTGATAAATTCACCTGCAAATCAAGAAGTTTCTAAACTTTTCTTCAGGAAGTTTTCTTTGCAGGAAGCATGCTAGATGTTTTACATTTCATGTTCTCACATGTGTCCCTCTGAGGTACTGCCTGCATCTTACAGATGAAACAAATAAGAAAGGTAGGGTCCAAACAGAGGTCCATCAAACTTCAAATTCTGTACCTCAAACTGTAAGGCCTGTCTTCTCAGGTGTCCACAAGGTCACCGATTACAATAAACTCTATTTGCCATTTACAGCAAAATGGAAGAAGTGTGATGGAATTATGTGTAATAAAGCCAGTCAGAATGACAAATACTGCACTTACTTGGTATATGAGTCAGCAAAGCAAAACACTTATTAAAAACCAACAGAACAAAACAAAGTGAGGTTTCTGAGGCTAAGAAGGGTGCAGAATGGAGACAGGGTCAAAGGGAAGGGTGTAAGGGATAGTGGGGAAATTTTATTTTTAATTTTTAAAAACTAAAGAAATAAAGAAGTGATCATGTTGTCCACTTAAAATCCTTCTGTAGCCTATTTAAATCCTCATGAAAAGGAGTCACTAGAAAGTATGATTATAGCAATTTTGGAAATACAGGGAATAACCTATAAATAAATAAAAAAACAACTCTAAAAGCATTCAATGTAAAGAAGTTTAGTCAAATCTCCAAATGCTGGAGTTCCTAAATTCCCTCAGAGATAGGCACACAGTTCGTATTTGACCAAATACTTTGACAGAAAATTCACTAAGAAAAAATGTTCCACTAGGGTACCTACTGCTCTTTCCATGTATGTTTCTTTTTTAATTACATCACATCAACAGTAAAAAATACATATAATTTCCAAATGAAGTATCAAATTAGGATTTGCCAAAATCCCAATCTAAATGCTTTTGTAAAGATCTCATGTTACCCTTTAAAAGTCTATGCTGGTACTAAAAAAACAGAGATAAATTGTAGTTTTCTTTTTTTCAAACTGATAAAATGTTGGCTGACAAAACAGTATAGCACTGTAGGAATACAAGGTCACACCTCTTCAAATGAATGTTGCCACTCCACACCCACCACCTAAAGACCAATAGGCCTCCACTCCATGTCCACTCGACCCTCCTCCCCCAATCCCACTCTCATTGCTAACCTCAGTTCTGCAGTCAGATTCTGAAACTGTTTTTGTTGGGTTGACAAATTGTATTTTCTTATGTCACTCTAGGAGAAAGACGATAGTAATTACAGACAGAGTTGAAGTAAAGTTGGGGGAAAGTTAGAAAGGTAATAAGACTTCTGTGACAAGCTTCAGCAAGGCTTCAGGACAAAAGAGACAGCATGTATAGAACAAAATAGACAGGGGAAAGGACAGCCCTATTGAGTAAGACAGTTACAGTAATAAAAGGAGACAATGTGAAAAACAAAATCACAAGGAAGGGACAGGGAGAGGGAAAGCTCTATGAACACAAATACATCTCACAAATAGGGATGTGTTGCAAAAACATTGCACCATACTGCAAAATTATTTTTTAACCTAATAGACACTCAACAAAGCTATCAACTCTCAATTGAAAAAAATAAAATGATTAAACCAACGGGAAACTTTGAGTTTCTTATACAGCTACTGACAAGATGTTTAATTGCCATCCATCCATCCATCCATCTCCCAAATATTTTCTCCATTATACTAAAAGAATGTCTGAGATATAAGACTAGAGGTGGTGAGTCCAAAAGAAAAGAGCATTATTGGTAAATGAAATGAGTCTTCGGGACTTGATGCTTTCATTTCCAAGTTAGTATGCTAGCAGTGACCAATACTATTTACAACATATTCTACGCTTTTCTTCTCCAAATACTTCAATTGTTTAAACTATATGGTAATTTGAAGGATTCAGTTGTATCATTAATAAAGTGATAACTTAAAGGTGGTCCTAATAAAAGATTTACCTTATCCTCAAACTAATCTTAAATACATTCAATTTTAATCTAATCTAATTTAATCTAATCAAGCAAACAGGTTGAACTGAGAGAATTTTTTTCTATTAAAGTGCAATTAATTCTCTAGTTGTATATTAAGATTTCTGGGGTTATATTTTATAAAATGCACCAATAACTTGCCTCATTAATTCTCAATGTAAGCTGCTAGATATGAAAAGTTCTTAATAGAGACCACAGACTATATCATACAGTAACTTGATCAAAACAGTACTATTCTCAACAATCTATTTGGACACTAATCAGAAGTCTTGTTCAACTAAAGTGGTACTGGTACTGTATGGCTAATTTTCAATTTGCTTTACAATGAGCTACCTGTTTCAGGAATGATAAGTAAATGCTTTCTCATTATTTTGTCATAAAAGAGCTATACCTTCACAATGAAGTAAAATAAGCTCTTACCTTACTCAGAGAAGTGTGCATGCATGGGGGGAGTGGATAGGGAGGAAATACTGATGTAAGTAAGCATCTTATCAGTGAGTTTCTAGAACTGCTTTCCATGAACTTCATCCCAGCATCACCTCCCCAGTTTACTTCAAGGGTAAGTATCAAAATTGGCCACACAAAATTACTTTGCTTTACAGGATAGTGGTTGTTTTGGTAGTCAAGAAGTCAGGACCAAATTGCTGATCCATTTTTAAGAACCATGAAAAATCTTGCATAACCTGAATATTCAACTTCCCATCAGTCATTCTTATTCTATCTGTATCTTACATGAATGATATTTTCTGTTAATTTAAAAGTATGTTTTAAGTTACTTCAAATTCCTTGTGGGATTAAGAAACATAAAATATTAAAAATAGGGGAGTCTGTCATTATTCAACACACACATACTGGACATCTACCACACCAGTACTGCCAGAGGTACCTAGGATACAGTGGAGGGGACAGAGGGCCTGAAGAGGTCTGACTCAGTGAAGAATACGGTAGAGTTAGAATATATTGCGAAGAAAAGAAAGACAAGAGTAAAAGGAAGGTGTGAGTGGTAAGAAGGGATTTAGGGATAACTCCTAAGTTCTTGGACTGAGTAACTGGGGTTAAACAACCAAGAGATATTAAATAGCCAGTTAAAAGGTAAGTAGAAGAGGTTCAAGACATATGTTTGGATTAATTTACAAATTCAATGTCACTTTGCCTGGGGAACATAAATAGACAGAAAAAGATGGAACCAGTTAGCCAAGAAAACCAAGAGGTAGGTAGGAGTCATGATAAGAGTAAAACCAGGAAACAAAAATGGAGAAGGTAATTCCAAAAAGAAATGCATCCAAACAGAAACCGTTGCTGATATTTTGATTGAGTCCTGCTTCTTAAATTTGTTAAATCACTACCCACCATAGCTAGAGAAGTTTCAATAGTATTCTAGGGACACAACTCTGACCAAAATAGGTTGAAGAGGAAATGTGAGATAAGGGAGTGACAAAAGATAACTGTCCATTTGCTCCTTTGAGGAATTCTCTTTCTCATTCCAACCCTTAAACAGGGAAGGTACAGAATTTAGTTTTTTTTGAACTAGAGTTCAACTACATAACAGCTTACTTTGTTAATGTGCTAGATTGAAATACCTAGTCATCAATTTTACATATTCCACAGAATTAAGGATAATAAATGAAGATTTTTCATGACATCGAAGTGTTTATTGGGAAGAAAATAAAATCACAAGAATCTACAAGCATTATAACAAGAGTCACACAGCTAATGTGTTTTATACCCTATTAAACAATGAGACATAATACAGCTATTAAATGATGCAACTACAAGGGTATATTTACTAACATGAAAATTCTCCCAATAATGTTGATTTTTTAAAAAAGGTTTAAAAATCAAGGCATAATGCCACCTCTGCTCTGCAATGCAAAACGTGTTAGGGAACAAAGAGTATGTCTATGTGCCTAAGAAAGAGAAAAAAAGCCCACAAATACACAAAAGGGTAGGCAACTGGCTATATCAAAACACTTGATGGGGGCCTCCCTGGTGGTTCAAGACACAGCACTATGAAGCTATCCCCAGCCAGCGAGCAACCCACATAGCGCGCAGACCTCTCCTGTCTCGCCCGCTGCTCACCTCAGCAGTGTATTTCAGTCAGTCTGCTTGTTCTGTTCCCCACTGTCTCTGGTGAATCCTCTCACCTCCCACACCTCTGGCCTGTACCCCAGCTCTTGTATGCATAAATAAATAAATCTTAAAAAAAAAAATACATGACAGGACTCTGGTTTTTTCATTATTTTCTTATTTACCGAATTTTCAGCAGAAGAGCAAATGATGAGCAAAAACTACAACATAATAAAGTTCATTTGCTGAGAAAATTGTTCAAATAATGATGAACAAAAGTGCCACTTCTCCTAGATGAGCTTTAATATCAATTACTGAAGGAAGTCTTTGATTCCCCTTTTCTTTCTCTTCCCTGCAGGCTGACTGAGGTGCCTGCACCACTCAACGTATCCAGCAACTATAACTGCCAGTTTGTCTGAATTTATATTCATCAGATTATTCAGATATAGTCAAACCAGTATATTGTGGGCATTCAGCAAACATCACTTGTTTTCATTTATTCAAATATCAAATTCATTGTTGTACTTCATTTTTCCTAATGATGAACTTACTTCTCTATTAACTTACTATGAAAATCATTCTTTAAATTGATGTTCTTTTAAATAGATGTTCTAAAGTAATTCAAAAATTTATGAGTTTTTTGTACTTTAGAATCTGGAGTTCAAGATTGTATAAATCAAAAACTCTCTGATGCTATATTAGTACTGTGCAAAGAATTTAACCTTTTGATTGTATTCAGTGTCCTACAGTAATATATGACGCACGCTGAGAAAGCACAGGCCACAGTGTGGTAATTTATCATCCTAAATTGCAGGAGATCCCTATAGCTGGGGCTAATTAAGTAGTAGGGATATAACAGTGACATTTTATTTAGAATCTTAAAAAAAACCAAACCAACATTTCATAAATGTGATTCATTAAAAGTGAACAAATGACCTACTTACAAATAGGGACTGATACTCAAAGTAAGGAAAATTGTGCCTTCAATATTTGCATTCAAAAAGCATATCTATAGGGCCTCCCCGGTGGCGCAGCGGTTGAGCGCTGGGTTGCGAAGCTGCCCGCAGCCTCTGCAGCGCCAGTTCGATCCCCAGCTGCCGGCGAGGGTCCCACATGGCGCGCAGACCCCTCCTGCCGCCCGCTGCTCCCCTCAGCAGTGTACTTCGGTCCTTCTGCCTGTTCTGCTCCCTGCTCTGGCTCTGGTGAATTCTCTCACCCTCCCGCGCTTCTGACTGTACCCAGTGCTTGTATAAATAAATAAATAAATCTTAAAAAAAAAAAAAAGTCTTCAAAAAGCATATCTATATAAAAAAAATTAAAAATTGGAAAAGGCCATGTTTCAATTACAACACAAAGTCCCCATTTCTTATTATATGTGTAACTCCCCTAAGTAGCTAGTATATATTTTCTGGTAATATGTTATTCTATAGTTCCTGACAAACCTTTTAGGAGAAGTTTTTATTAAATTTGTGTAAAATGATATAAAGACCAGAGGTAAATCATACCATTAAAGAACAGATCCCTAATTAACATGCTTTCAAAAGTAGAAATGTATTAAAAAGTTTTTTTAAGGCAAGTACTAAATTCTAAAATCTGCATTGTTGATGCATATTGCTATTTCATTTTTAACCCAGTCCATCTCTATGCAAATAAAACTCAATTTTTGAATTTTTAAGTAAAATATAACAAGCCTACTCCTTTTGACCTCACCTTCTTACTGTGATAGAGGGACTGACAAACCAGTTTACTATCATGTCTTCAAGTTAATAAAGGAAAGAAACAAATCTCATTATTTAAAAAGTCAAATTTGATTGATGATCCAATTTTACAACCATGAAAGCAATTAAGCCCATTTTACAGAAGGACATCAAGAAGTTTTGAACATCTTAAACATTAAATGTTCATTTCCAGGGAAGCTATTGGATCATTAATAGCATTCATTGATTTTTTTAATACATATTTTTTAATTTATTTTTTCATGCATACAAGAACTAGGGTAGAGGTCAGAGGTGGGGGGAGGGAGAGAGGATTCACCAGAGACAGAGTAGGGAGCAGAATAGGCAGACTGACTGAAATACACTGCTGAGGGGAGCAGCAGGCCAGACAGGAGAGGTCTGCCTCGCCATGTGGGTATCTCCCCAGCCAGCCCGGGAGTCAAACCTGCGCTGCAGACAGCCTCACAGTGCTGTGCTCAACTGCCTGCACCTCCAGAGAGGTCCAGCATTCACTGATTTTAAAAGATTTAACACATCCCAAAATGGTTAAGTTTTCATCCTGCTTACTTTTTGGCTATTTTAAGCTACCTCCCAGAATCATGCTAAGGGAAACACAGCTAAATCTATCTAATAATTAATCACAGAACTTCCTGATGTCCTAAATCGAAGAGGTTTGGCAGAGCATGGAAAGGTAACAATATAAGAATTCTGTTATTCAAGAGGCTAAACTGCTAGTTTTTTAAATTGCTATTAACATTGATATACTAAAAGTTAACGGGGAACATAATGCACACCTGAAGCCTATACAATGTTACAAACCCACTGTTATTTCAAAAAACAAAATCACTAACATAAAAAAAAAATCTCCAGCTAGATGAAGAAAACATTGGGCTACTAAGAGTATCTAATCAGGTACGGTTTGTTCATTTTTGATCAGTCCTCAGTATGGACAAGGGGTAAGACAGTAATAACTCCAGAAGACCTCTACCAAGACTTAATTATAAAAAGATATTGTGGAGCCCACCCAGACCCAGCCACTCAGCATTTGCATGAGTGTATGAACCATAGCAAATTTGCACTCAGTTAAGGCTAAGAAATTAACAAAAAGATGAAATTATTGAAAAAGGCTTCATGAGGTAGTATAAAAGAAATTCAGCATACAAGTTTTTGAACTACTTATTACCATCTCCAAATTCCAGCTCTGCCATGTAGTAGCTCAGTATTTGTTAACCTCCCAACGTTCAATTTTATCACCTTTAAAGCAGGAAAGATAGGAAAGATAATATATCTTCAACAGAGCTATCTGAAGAATTAGAAAATATGAAAGTCAGATAACACAAAACCAGTAACAAAACCTAGAAATCCGACTGTAAAGCTGAGGTTACCAGAGAAAGAGAGTAGAGAGGGAAGAGAGGAACTGGGTCAAGGGGGTATGGTGGAGGACTGTGGTGTGTTGGCAGCAGGTCTGATGCGTAGACATATACCTGAAGAGGTAGGATTCTATATTTCTGATTACACACAGTATTCTAAACCAATGCTACCTTAATAAAAATAAAGAAAATAAAAGGAATTACTTAGCAAACTGCTTATCACAATAAATGTTCTATCTTGTCACTACCAAGGCAATGAACAAAGCAGAATGTACTAGAGGTGTAAGAGATGAATGCCCAGGTCAGAGACCAGCAGAGAAAGGGAGTGGACCACAGGTGTTCTGTGTTTTCTCACTTATCTAACTTGAATGTCATCAACCTGTCCTGGTCCAGATATACCCTTTTAC